TGCCCAAAATCAACCAGAATTGTAAATATGAGGAAAGAGCTCGGACTGCCCTCCCTATCTGAGAGGATAGCCCTACTTAATACCATGTTTTGTGTCAAAGTTTTGAAGAACAATAGTTCTCAAACTACAACTCAAACTGAGTTGATGTTCTATCTAAGTAATCCCGACCATCTCGCCAACCTTTCACAAAAGACTCTCTTTGGGGCGTGGCTTCATAAAAGTGTTGCAGATCTCCTGAAACTGAATGTCCCAATCACCCCAGACGAACCTATTAATGCCATTCCTCCTTGGCTGGACATATCAGTTCCTATTAATTACACTCCTGTTGGTAGTAAGCAAATGTTAAACACCGATGTGGTGAGATGTGTCACACTAGAAACTATTAACAGACACATAGAGAGTATTAAATCAAGTGAATGTTATGCTTTTACTGATGGTTCTGTGCAGACAAACACAGGTAGAACAGGCTGTGCAATTGTAATATATAAAGAAAAAGAGATGATAGTGTCAAACAAACAAAGGCTGAACAACTGGGCCAGCACAACACAAACTGAACTAACTGGAATCTACTTAGCCACAGACTACCTCAAAGAAAATGGAGGTGGGGTGATATTCTGTGACTCTCAAAGTGCTTTGAAATCAATGAACAGCCCGTCAGGTTCTATGTCTAAAGTTGCATGTGATATTAAAAGGAATGTGATAACTGCCAATGAGAACAACTTTCGTATCGAATTTGTGTGGATTCCGTCCCATGTTGGAATCAGGTATCATGACCGTGCTGATAGACTGGCCAATGAGGCATGTAAGAAAGAAAATGTTGACCGCGACCTTGGTCTGTCCAATGCCGTAATTAAAAACATTCAAGTCAGAATCATGAACTCTGATCTAGAAGAAGTGAGAAATGCAGAGAGACCTGACAGTTGTAGCATTAGTAAATATGACAAATTTTGTAACAAGAGGTACCGGTATGGCCAGCATAAGGACAGAACCAGACAATGTGATGTAGTCGTGGCCAGAATTAGGCTAGGATACAGACACATCTGGCAAGTTAGTAACGTTGTACCCATACCGGAACACTCAGCATGTAAACTTTGTGATAAACCTTTAAAGCATACACTTGAACACTATATTATTGAATGTGACACTGTCAAAGACTTCAGGCCACCTGACTTATTGTATCTTGAACTATGTAATTACTTCATTGAATCAGGTGTGCTTGAGGACATTCTTGCTGTTTATCCCAAATTTGCTAGCCCACACTGATTAGTCTTCAATTAGAATATGACTCCAATGTATGTGATCCACTGACCCATATATGCTGCTGGTGAATGTGATGTATTTCCTTCTTTGTGTACGAACCTCTGTCCTGCGTGGCAGTGAACAGTGGCATTACCCACATGAATCTGACCTATATATAGTGTCAATGAATATGATGCATTCTTTGTGTACGAACCTCTGTCCTGTATGGCAGTGAAAAGTGACATTACCCACATGAATCTGACCGACGTATATGTATGTATGTGTGCGTGTGTGCATGTATATGTACGTGTACATGTATATGTGTATGTATATACGTATATGTATGTATATGTGTGTGTGTGTGTGTTTACATATATGTATATGTACTGTCAATGAATATGATGCAACTCTTTGTGTACGAACCTCTGTCCTGCATGGCAGTGAACAGTGACATTATCCATATGAATCTGACCTCTATACATTTATAGTTGTTAATGAATATGATGTATTTCTTTGTGTGTGAACCTCTGTCCTGCGTGACAGTGAGAAGTGATACCACCCTCAGTGTCAAGACCTGACTGAATTACTCAGAATAGGCAAACTGTACTACAAGCTCTGCCAATAAATTTGTTAAACTAAAAAAAAAAGCGTGAGGCTCTTCCTGGCTCATTTCTCCTTCCACTCTGTGCCCTCCAGGAGCCGTGTTTTTCCTGTGGTGGAGAATGAACGATACTTTTTCCCTCTCTCTCTCTCTCTCTCTCTCTCTCTCTCTCTCTCTCTCTCTCTCTTAAAGAGTAGACCCACTCTGAGACATAATTTCCTTGTTTTTCTGTGATTAAAACCTTAGAAATGCTGGGACCTTAAACCTCTGGAAGTTGGTGTTGTCAGAGTCGAGCGCTAATTATACAGCTTTTCTCCCTTGTGTTTTGAGGAGCTGCCACGACTTGCTTTCTTAGTGAGTTGTGGCTGTGTTTTGTCTCCTCCCGGCTGAGTAACATACAATCCTTCCCTGACGTGTTTCTGAGAGCCGGGATATGAGATGGATGAGGGAGTGGGAATTTATATGTTTGTGAAAATATGTGTAATCCTGGTCATTATTATTATCGTTCTATCCATCGTTATCATCATCTCGATTATCATTCTAATCCTTATCATCTTCATCATCAAAATCATTCGAATCATCCTCCTAATCATTCTAATCATCATAATCATCATCAAATCCTTCACTGCTTTGAGCTGCTGAAGCCTAACTGACCTTCTGACGCTTGACATGCTGACTCCGGAACGATTCTATGAGCAGCTGACGCCTTGGTTGTTGACGTTAGAGCATAAATGTCAGCCGCTGGCGTCAGAGTTATATTATCAAAGTTACTGACGTCTGTGTTGCCACTACTGACGCATAAACGGTTCACATACTCCTCATGAACACATCAACAGTGAAAGATAAGAGATGAGGACCACCAAACCTTTACCACTGAGAAGTTCGAAGAAAATTTGTCTTGTGATATTGAGAAATGTGTTCGTGTAATATTTACCACAACACAAGAACATTCAAAGTAAAACATAAATATACACAACATACTCAAAAGTTATCATCATATCACATATTAAATCAAAATATTATTTATAGTTTGCTGGCGAAAGGTAGAACAAGAAATTTGGGAAAATATAAAAAAAAATGCCGAGCTAGAAGGAAGGAGAGACCTGGGAGGGAGAGAGGAGGCAGCCTCTGTAAATATAAATACGAAAAGGACGAAGTGAGAGGCAGGGGAGGAAAGAAGAGATAGGGAGCGAAGGTATGGAAAGAAAAAAGAGAGAAGAAATTGTTGAAAAGGTGAGAGAAGGATAGAAACAAAGGCAGATTGGAGAACAGAGAGAGCGGGAGAGAGAGGTGGGAATTCGAGAGAAATAAGAACAAATTGAAAAAAAGAGGCAGGGAGAAAGAGACTCAAGACAGAAGAATAAATAGCTAGAGAGAGATAGAGTTAGAAAGGAACAGAATTAGGAAGAAATAAACAAAGATAGCAGGTGATAGAAAGAGAGAGAGAGAGAGAGAGAGAGAGAGAGGCAGACGAAGAAACTATCAAGAAAAAGAGAAATGGGAAAAGAGGACAACAAATTTGAACCATAATTTGAACCATGTTATCTAATTCTTTACAACTCTCCAATACCTTTCGTCTCGTCAACTATCTCAGTGATCAAGAAGAAAATATTATATTACAAGACGCCATCAACACGTCACCTTCATCAATACCTCTCATTAACAGTTCCTATTCATCATCTTTCTCTCATTAACACTTTTCTCTTATCAACACGTCTCAGTCTCTCTCCCTTTCTTATCAGTATATCTCTCTCGCCAACATATCTATTATCTCTTCCATGTGTGAGAGAGAGAGAGAGAGAGAGAGAGAGAGAGAGAGAGAGAGAGAGAGAGGAGTATCGTTGCATCAGCTTCCTAAGACTCATGAGACCGGGAGCTGTACTAAGAATGAAGTCAGATATAAATCGCTGAATATTTTCACTTGAGGAATTAAACCACTTCATCTTCTTTGTTTTTCCTGAATTAGAAGTAAGGACTCAGTATCAAATTAAATTAAATATTACACCTGTAAATCTCATTAATTATATCCCCCACAAAAAAAAAAAAAAATATATCCATATGCGGAAGAATTACTAAAGACGAGATTTGGTAGTCAAGTAGCGGTAATATGCCTTCGGTAAAGTAACTATATATATAAGGTTTTTGTTTTGACCGAGGAAGGAAGAGTTTGTATTTCAATTTTCCTCAAAATCCTAAATTTTATATAACTACCTAAAAGTTTGTCGTCGCTCCCCCCCAAAAATGTGCTGGTATTTTACTCCTGTGTGTGACTTATCGCAGTCTTATCGTGTTTTCGCTATACGATTCTCTCTCTTACTCCTGTATGATGTTGTAAATAAAAGAACTATGAAACATAAGATAAAAAAATATCTTTTAATTCATCTTGATTTAAAGTTTGTTTCTATTATATTTTATTAATTGCTTTCATATTTTATGTATGTATACGACAATATATCCTGCTGTGTGAACCTTGTTTATTATTATTTTTGTCATCGTTCTTATCATTATGATAGCCTTTTCCGTATTATTTTTATTATTTTAATTGTTGTATAACAATACACACACATACACACACACACACGAGGAAGAGTAAAAGACTCACTCGTTCCTTTTACTGCTGCTACACCGGGCAGATCCAGCCCCTGAGCCTCCTCCCTGAAGGGCGTGGCGGAGCGAAGTTGTGAGCCGGGGTAAGGGACCTCGGGGATCACCATTTCCTTCCTTCTGCTTGACGATGCACCGTCAGGAAAAATGTTTCCAGACTGTCACGCCGCAAGACAAAGGGAGTGAAGGTATGTGTTGTGTAGCGTTCAGTAGAGACACTAATGCACTCATAACTGGCATCAATACACGTACATACATACATACTGTACATAATAATGGTTGTCCCTCGTGTAACGAGCATGGCCAGCCCAAGGGCCACCACCTAGGCATGAATTTGTTTAAGGTGTAGAAGCTGTCGCTAACACAACAACCACACCCTAAGTCAACGAGTTGCAAGACCCAGTGTCAAGGAATAATCCGAGAAGACCGGACAACCCGCCAACTGCACTGGCTAGCCATTACCCCGGAACACGATCCGCAAATCGATTAACATCCAAGTTCCCAATTACTGCTGGGTGGACAGAGGCAAATGGCGGAAAGAAACTTGCCCATAATTTCACCCTACCCGGGGATCGAACCCGGGTCCTCTCGCTTCCGAGGTGAGCATGCTCACCATTGCACCACAGGTCGCCATACACATACATACATACATACATACATACATACATACATACATACATACGTACGTACGTACATACATACATACATACATACATACATACATACATACATACATACATACATACACACATATATACATACATATACTGTACACACACACGACGAACAAGGAGAGGAGGAAGAAAAAGAACGCCTCAAAGCAAAAAAAAAACGGGAAAAATGAAGAGGAATGTGCTGATAAAGTCAGTAACACAACACACACTCAGACCCATGATGTAGAACGAAAGGAAGAGAAACACCAAAGGATAAAAGTGTTAAAGATATGAAATATATAAAACAGTATATCGCGTGCCACAGCCGACACTACCTCGTTGAACAGTGTCACGATAGAGCCAAACTAATATAACCCGGAACAGGATCCTAATTTTCGTATTGCAACCGTGGAGTTTGGTCTTTAACTCTGCCACCACAATAACTGCCTTCACTACATCTGCCACCACAAGAACTGCCTTCACTACGTCTGCCACCACAAGAACTGCCTTCACTACGTCTGCCTCCACAAGAACTGCCTTCACTACGTCTGCCACCACAAGAACTGCCTTCACTACGTCTGCCACCACAAGAACTGCCTTCACTATGTCTGCCACCACAAGAACTGCCTTCGCTGTGTCTGCCACCACAAGAACTGCCTTCACTATATCTTCCACCACAAGAACTGCCTTCACTACATCTGCCACCACAAGAACTGCCTTCACTACGTCTGCCACCACAAGAACCCCTGCTTCGCTGTGTCTGCCACCACAAGAACTGCCTTCACTACGTCTGCCTACAGAGACTTTGCCTTCACTACGTCTGCCACCACAAGAACTGCCTTCACTAAATCTGCCACCACAAGAACTGCCTTCACAAATCTGCCACCACAGAACTGCCTTCACTATGTCTTGCCACCACAGAACTGCCCCTTCATGTGTCACCACCACCACAAGAACTGCCTTCCCTACGTCTGCCACCACAATGCTTCCTTCACTACATCTGCCACCCACAAGAACTGCCTTCCTCGTCTGCCATCACAAGAACTGCCTTCCACTACGTCTGCCACCACAAGGAACTGCCCCTTCACTACGTCTGCCACCACAAGAACTGCCCCTTCCTATGTCTGCCACCACAAGGAACTGCCTTCCTTTGTGTCTGCCACCCTGAGACTGCCTTCACTATATCTTCCCACCACAAGAACTGCCTTCACTATGTCTGCCACCACAAATTGCCTTCACTTTGTCTGCCACCACAAGAACTGCCTTCACTACGTCTGCCACCACAATAACTGCCTTCACTACATCTGCCACCACAAGAACTGCCTTCACTACGTCTGCCACCACAAGAACTGCCTTCACTACGTCTGCCACCACAAGAACTGCCTTCACTACGTCTGCCACCACAAGAACTGCCTTCACTATGTCTGCCACCAAGAACTGCCTTTCATGTCTGCCACCACAAGAACTGCCTTCACTATATCTTTCCACCACAAGAACTGCCTTCACTATGTCTGCCACCACAAGAATTGCCTTCACTTTGTCTGCCAATGGCTCGATGCGCGCCGTCTTGACATTAAAAATATTCGTTGATAATGTAGCGAGAGTATAATAACATTATTACTGTGGATAAGTCAACAATGAAGGTCCGCTTAACACCTTACGGCATCTACAGAGCCTGACAATACTCCCTACAGTAACAATAGCCATCTCCCTGCTGACTGATGTTGGGGATTACTGGCCTCTTCGCCATTAGGCTATTTCGGCCGAAGCTGATGTCTTCTTTCTTCTTCTAATCTTGGTCTTCTTTCTTGCTACAACTAATCTGATGTTCTTGTTTCTTCTTTTCTTGTTATTCTTGTGTTCTTCTTGTTCTTGGTATTTTGGTTACTTCTTTCTTCTTGTTGTTTTATTTGGGATGAATTATGGTATGCATGAGTGATATGATGGTGAGTTAGTGACAGACCAGATGAAATGGCTTGTCAGGTGACTAGTTTCTCTGTGATTTTTTTTTTTTTATTATTTTTTATTTTGTCTTTTGTAGCCCGTGTCTTTTTGTTTGAATATATGTTGGTGGGTGTCAGTTTAGCTTGATAAATGTGAGTGTTGTATGTAATGATAAGGTTTGTGATGTGTTTCTCATGTTGTATGTTTTAATTTTTGTTTTATTCATTTTTATTTTTTATTTTTATTTTTTTTATTTTTTAAGGCATGGTTACATACATATAATAGATATAAAAAGAGTTCATGCGTGTGTCAATCATAACATGCCGATAAGATGGGTCTCCTTGAGGAAGGTTATTACTGCGTCACTTATGGTGACATTATCTTGCAATAGGTTGGGTACAGTCAGCACGAAGCCTTGCTCGGCAGCTAGGATCACCAGCTGCCGGCGCTCTGGTTCGTACTGGCTGCACTCAGTCAGAATATGTCTGATGGAGAGAATTAGGTTACAAGTGGCACAGATAGGTGGGAAGGAATTGTCAAGATAGGCCCCTAGGTGGGTCAGATAGGTACAGTTCAGCCTTAGTCTGGCGAGAACGACCTCTTCCCTCCTATTCTTCCTATATGCTGAGGGCCAGTTTCCTATATTAGGCTTCCAGGTGTTGTGGAGATCCAACCTAGTCCATTCAAGTTGCCACTTTCCAAATGTATATGTCTTCCCCAAGGAGAGACACGACTGAGTCTCCCAGGGTACATTAGTTGTCTCCCCGAGACCCACAGTCGCTCTTGCTAATCTGTCTGCCTGTTCATTGCCCCAAATGTTACAATGCCCAGGCACCCACACCAGCACAATACTCTTGGCACACTCATGTAATTTATTAATAATGTTGCCCTGTATCTCATTGCTGGTAGTATCACCACCTTGAATTGCTTTAAGAGCTGACATGGAATCTGAAATTACAGCGACATCATTGACATTGCTTGTTATTGCAATGTCAATGGCTCTACTTATTGCGAACATTTCTGCAGAGAATATGGTTGTATGCCGCGGCAGGCGGGAGCTCCACTCCCCGTCTCTGCTCCAGATACCGGCTCCGACGTTGTCTTCAGTCTTGGACCCGTCGGTGTACACGTGAGTATAGGCGCTGAATCCTTCAAGAAATTGATAGAAAAGTTGCCTCAGGAGCTCAGGATGAAAGTCATTCTTCGCTCCCGGAAGCCACGATGTTTCCACATGGAAGTTGGGGTTCTCCCATGGCGGACACAACGGTGGAACGTATCTATCAACGTCTTCGAAATGGATACCAGCACCCTGGCACAAGGTCTGGAGGCGGACAACCGAGGACGGGGACCTACGCAGCTGCAGGAAACGGAATTTAGCAACAGCACACCAACCTGGGTGGTCTGTGCCGCGCTTCCTAGCCGCACTCAACCCGTACCTTAGCGTCAACATGTCCCTCCTGATGTGAAGTGGAGGGACGTGGGCCTCAACCTCTAGTTTACCTACACGTGTACACCTGTAGGCACCCAGACATAGACGAAGGCATCGGTTCTGTATTCTGGTTAGCTTTGCGAGTGTGGTGTTGCATGCCGAAGCATACAACTGGCATCCATAATCAAGTTTTGATCTGATCAGGGTCTTATACACCATTAATAAAGATTTCCTATCGGCTCCCCATGTAGTACCTGATAAAACTTTCAGGATGTTTGTGACTTTAAGACATTTACTTTCAAGTTCGTTAATGTGGTTTTTCCACGTTAATTTCCGGTCAAAATGAACACCAAGAAATTTTACTGAAGTCTGAAATTTAATAGGAGTATCATTTAATTTTAATACTGGATTACTAATGTTACGTTTCTTAGTGAAGACTACTCCTACTGTCTTCTCAACTGAAAACCTAAATCCCCATTGTATTGCCCACTGTTCCGCGGCTTTTAGGCCAGCCTGCACCCTTTGTGCAGATAGCCTCTCAGCTCGAGAGGAGCGCCAGATTGCGCAATCGTCAGCAAACAAGGAGAATTTGAGGTCACTTAAGCTGGGGGCTGGTGATAGGAAATCATTAATCATTATAAGGAATAAAATTGGGCCCAAAACGCTACCTTGTGGAACTCCATTTTCAAAGACAAATGTGTCTGATTTTACGTTACCTTTTAATTTGACGGAAAAAGTCCTGTCCTGCAAAAAATTACTAATAAAAATTGGCAAATTACCTCTCAGACCCAAGGCGTGGAGCTTCATCATGAGGCCAGTCCGCCATGTCATGTCGAAAGCTTTTTCTATATCTAAGAATACTGCAATTAATGTTTCTTTACTGCAAAGAGCTTTTGAGATGTCAGTTTCAAGACTTATTAAATGATCTAGTGTGCTTCTACCTTGGCGGAAACCACACTGTCGATCATTCAATAAGTTGTTACTTTCCAAAAAATACATTAGTCTACGCTTTATCATACGTTCCATGACCTTACACAGACAGTTTGTGAGCGAAATCGGACGGAATGAGTTGGTGTTGTTCGGGCATTTGTCCCTCTTCGGGATCGGTACGACATGGGCAAAGTGCCATGAGTTTGGAAACGTTCTGGACGTCCAGATCTCATTGTACACTTCTAGCAATTTGTCCAGGTTTCCCTGGTCAAGGTGCTTAATCATCTCGTATCGTATACCGTCAGGTCCAGGAGTAGAGCCCTTGCCCTTTTAATAGCAAAGGAAAGTTCCTCTGGGGAAAATGCTCGATTGTAGCCCTGTTCGTCCCCGTTCTCGAAGTCGAGATGCAAGAGCTCGGCACGATCACGGAACACGCCGAAGCGTGGATCATGATTGGTGGAGCTACTGGCATCTGCAAACTTCTGGCCTAGGGTGTTGGCAATGGCCTGGGGTTCGTCGAGAATCCGCCCTCCACTACTCACCTGTGGGATAAAACTCCTTCCTCCTTTGGATCTGACCCGGTTTATAGCCGACCATACCTCAGAGGAAGGGGTATCCTTGTTAATAGTGGAGACGAACGCCCGCCAAGACTCTCTCTTACACTCCCTGAGAAC